AATGACCTTTTGTTTTGATGTCTTTGGAGAATGTATATAAACTAAGAATTGTTTGGAACATGTAAAAAAATCTGTAGGTAGAGGAGAACACACACAGCAGTGTGACTTTTTGTACAGACTGTTTTTTCAGTCTTAAATTTAAAAACATTTTGGGTGTAAATGATTTTGAGTACATTTTGTACAACTGTCTTTCAATACAGTGTTTGTTTCTATCACAGTTTCTGTTTTGACATAAAATAGCAATATTTCACCTTGTAATGGTCAGTCATTCTGTTATTTATTTATATTACAGGCTAACTAAACTCCAGATATTGGAACTTAGAGAAAACCAGTTAAAAATGTTGCCAAAGTAAGTACAGATGAAATATTTAAAGTACATGCCTGCTTTGTTTTCAGTTCCTTCTCATGATCAGTCTCTTCCTTGTCCTGGCTTTCCAAATTGACTTTTATTCTCTCATCTGGAGCCCAATGGACTGCTTGATCTTCTACCTAAGATAACTAGAGTTTTTCCTGACTAGTACTGTGTTGATTTTCCCCTCTTTCCCCCGTCAAAGGGATTGTGTCCCAAGGATTATACCTTAAATCTAGTTGTGTGAATGTTATGATTCCAGCTAGGGATGTTAAAATGCATTTATTTAGTGGTTACAAGCTGCCCCCAACTTGCGATTGGTTCCGGAGATTGTGTCGCAAGTTGAGGGCGTCGTAACTCGAGTCATAAATGCGGGGCTGAAGACGTAAGTAGGGGGATTTCTGTCCTTTCCACACTTACAGAAAAGGCCGTAAGTGCAAGGGATAGTAACCTGGGGCCGTCGCAAAGCGGGGGCCTCCTGTATATGTTTATGGGTGGGGAAGCACCCCAGAAACTGGTGCACATGGGGAGACAGCTTATAAACGGGCTTCCTACAAGCATCAGTTCCTGCAGATCCATTCTGCTCTCCTATCCCTATACTGCTGGGGAAGGGGACAGGTGGGAGCTGGTACATTCAAGGAGCTGTCTTTTAAACCAACTCCCCTGTGAGCATCAGCTCTCACTCTGCGCTGATACAGAGGCAGTGGGGACACAGTACAAATAGCCATGTAAACATTCACATCCCTAATTCCAGCTAAAAATGTCATATATTGTAATCCATCAATTTCCCTCTCTAGAAATCTTGGCAAATTTTATTGTATTACTTACTCTTACTCGCTGTGTGTGCATGCCGAATAACTATTTTAATGGCACTAAATCTTTTTACTTTATCGTTGAAATCTTTTGTGGATATTATTCAAATTCTAACATTAGATACAATGTATGTGGGATTAATAGACACTTAGGCTATGTCTAGACTACATGGCTCCGTCGACGGAGCCATGTAAAATAGTTTATTCGGCATAGTCAAAGAAGCGGGGATTTAAATAATCCCCGCTGCATTAAAATAAACATAAAATAAAATAAAACCTTGTTTCACAAGGCATATCGGAGCGGTTGACAAAGGCTTCCTTTGTCGACCGCACCGTGTCTAGACTGCCATGCTGTGCTGCATCAGCTGATCGTTGGCACAGCACTGCGGCCATGTTTATTTTAATGAAGCAGGGATTATCTAAATCCCCGCTTCTTTGACTATGCCGAATAACTATTTTACATGGCTCCTCTTCTTGTGTGAAGTACCTCGGAGATAACCACATTCCTGCCAAATGCCTGAACTGCTCTAGTCTTACTGCTAGGGCCAGGCAAGACAGGGAGTTTTGGCTGAAGATGATACTCCATGACAAGTCTTTTCCGCCTTCTCAGAACCAAGACCCTCAGGTTTTCTCTAAGGACAAGCCTAAGCCTTCCAAGACCTCCAAAAAGTGATCCAGTATGCTCCACCTGCCTGAGACTCTCAGAAGAAGTGAGTCTCTCCAGCAAAATCTCTTGCACCACTGCCGACATCCCACCATAGTAAAGGAGATGTTCCTGTCTTGGCAGGTGCTGGCACGAGCTGTATCCAGTAACAATCAGCACCGCAAACTCTCTGCCTCCGCCCCCCAGCACCAGCCTCTTTGGCATGGGACGTGGTGCCAAAAATACCTCAAGCATAGGGATGTCTGTGAGTAGTCAACTAGTTGACCACCCGATAAGCATAAGCTTATCAGGTAGTCAACTGGAATATTTGAGAGGCAGCAAGGGGAGGGGGGACAGGAGCCTATGCTCGAGGGAGCCTGTTTAAAAGCCAGTTTCTCCCAGCACTGTATCTGTGGTGCTGCCCTGTCCCCATCCCCTACTGCCTCTATTAGAGGTGGGGGGGGGATAGGAAAGGCAGTTACTGCTGGGCCTCCCACCCTGCAGATAGTGGCTGCTGCCACCAACCTGCCACAAACAAGGGCTTGTGTGGAGCAGCCTCTGTTCATGGTGGACAGGGCTGTCGGTCGTGAACAGGGGCTGCTGGACCAGTGCGAGCCAGGACTGAGCAGTCCCGGCTCACACTGGTCCGGGATGCAGAGCCACAGAGTGAGTGGTTCCCGGAGCCAGCACCAGCCAGGACTGGTCCCAGCTCGAGTTGGCTCCTGCAGCTACCCCCACTGCAGAGCGGTCGTTATCGACTAATTGTGTCATCAATATAAATTGTATTGATGACACAATTAGCCAGATAACAGTAATTTAACATCCTTACTACAGCACCAATGCCTCCCCCACCGGTGCCGTACTACCAACCAGAACTGAACTCTGCTCACGGCACCACTTCAGCCACAGTATGAACATGTTTCACCCCACAATAGATCAAGACTGCATCTTCACAGCCACAAAGAGATGCTATCCCATCTTCGACACTGTCCTCACTGCTTTCAGCACCAACAGATCTCCTATGCTGTTGCTCACTGAGCCTCCCAGGTTACCAGCTGTCTCCAGCCATAGCGGCCATGAAACGGATGAGCAGCCAAACTCATTCTCCTCTCAGCATTCTTTTGTGACACAGCATTCCTTTCTGTTGTGCCATCAGCATCGCTCCTTCTCAAGCCCAGGAAGATGAAGCCCCAAATGAGGAGGATTTTTCAGAAGAGGAACCACTCAAAACATCCTCTTTTTCCTGTCCAGATGAGGCTGTAATCTCTACCGCACCTTCACCCTCAAATGATTTGAAGCTGTTCCAAGACTGTTTAAGATATCCCTTTCAAGAGGTCCAGGAGAAGCAACACAAGCTCCTTCAGATTCTCAAGTCGACAGTACCATCCAAAATAGTGTTGCCTATAGATTAGGCCATTATGGAGTCGCCAGATATCATCTGGAAGACACCAGCCTCTATCACCCCAGTCAGTAAGTGGGCTGATAAAAAATATTTTGTCCCTGCTAAAAACATGGACTTTTTGTTCTCTCATCCCCAGCCTAACTTCCTAGGGGTTGATGCTGTATACCATTGCAACAAGCAATCCCCCATTTAAGTCTGCCTCATATGATAAAGACCACAAGAGGCTTGACTTATTTGGGAGAAAATTTTAATCCTTTGCCATGCTGCTGCTCAGGGTAGCTAACTTATTCAGCCCTCTTAGCTAACTATGATTTCACCAATTACTTCAAATTGGAGGAACTCCTGGAACATCTTCTAAAGCAGAAATGCCCTGTCCTCCAATCAGTCATACAAGAAGACCACAGAATAGTATGTACCACCGTGCAATCAGCACTCGATGTCACGGACTTGGCTGTTCTGGCTGCTGCTACAGTCATAGTCATGTGGTGAGCAGCATGGTGCCAATCCTTGGGTATCCCTAAGAAGCTACAGATCAAGGTTGAGGACTTGCCATTTGATAAGAGTGAGGGTTTTTTGGCTAAGACAGATGAGGTCCTGCATTCTGTGAAGGATACATGAACTGCCTTACGGCTTTTGGAATGTACATACCAAGTAAAAGGAGATGCTATACACCTTATCAGAAGCTGTGAGACACTGGCTTTAGTTGACCTCAATTCAGACATTTTGATACTAACATATCTAAGCCTGGACCAGCTCTCTGGGAACCACCACAGGGCCAGCCTCTGACCACCTTCACACCCAAGAAGCAATTTTGAGGCTTTGGTTGAGCATCTGCCCAACCTCTTCCAACACAAAGTGGTAGCTCAGTCACCAGCTATTTTCCTGCACTGATTGCATCCATATTACAATCAATAGGCAACAATAACAGATCAAAGGGTCCAGAAAATTATTCCAGAGGGATATGCCATTCCATTCCTGCCCATCCCCCTTCAGGGGCCTCTTCCACAAGCTTCTTCTGCGGCATAAGGCGAACATCTTCGTATATAGGAGTTCTAGAGCCTGTTCTCATTCCATTCCAGGGTAATGGCTTTTATTCCAATTACTTCCTCACTGAGAAAAAGAACAGTTCGGAGAACCATCCTAGACCTAGAGAAGTTTGTCCAAAAACAAAAGTTGAAAATGGTGACCGTATCAGCTATTATCCCAGTGTGCTAGACCAGGAGGACTGGTCACAGCCCTCTACCTACAAGATGCTCACTTCCACATAATCATATACCCCACCCACGGACACTTTCTATGCTTTGCTGTGGCTCACAACCATTATCAGTGCTAAGTATGACCTTTAGGTTTTTTATGGTCCACAGAGTTTTCTCCAAAACCCTCGCAGTCGCTAGATCTAATCTACATTGCCCAGGGGTTATAATATTTCCTTACATAGACGATGACCCTTAAAAGGATCCATGCAAGCAGAGACGACCTCAATGAACCACAAGAACAGAACTCCTTTTCGAAGCCTTGGCCTTCTTATCAACAAGTCCAAATCCATCCTCGAACCCACTCAGAGGCTGGAATTTATCTGAGCCCTTTTAGACTCCACCAAGGCCATGCTTTCTTACTAAGATATTGCTTCTAAAAGACCTCATCAGTGTAGTGACCAGTGACCCTCAGATATCTGTTTTGATCTGTCTGTGAATCCTTGGACACATGACAGCAACCACTTATATAGTCAAACATGCCAGACTACATATGCACTGCCTTCAAAGATGTATCTCTACTGTATATACCCCCATGATGCATTCCCTTCACAAACAAACTGCAGTTCCTCCCAATGTATTATCCTTCCTCCAGTGGTGAATTGTTCCCACAAACCTTCTCTCAGATGTTCCTTTTCACCATGTGCCTCCACCACTGGTTATCACTACAGATGCTTCCTTCATGGGCTGGGGAGCCCACCTTGACCATCACGTAGCAGAAGGCAGTTGGTCACTACCAGAGTCCTGACTGCACATAAATCTCCTTGAAGTAAGAGCTTTTAGAAGAGCCTATGAATACTTTTAACCCTTCATTCAAAACAATTAAAATACTCATAGACAACATGACATCATGTTCTATGTCAACAGGCAGGGTGGAGACTGCTCACACT